TTCTTCTTACTCGCAGGGGAGTGTATAATCTCTGGTAAAGAAATACTCCACTAGCTCCTTTCAATGCAATTCGCTATGGATTTGTGGATAGAGTCATTAGGACTACATAGCAAGAGTGATCGAGGGCACATAAATTGCTTACTGTTAGCGTAGCGTGCCAGAAGATCATCTGACGGTTTTTGCTGTTTTTTTTTCCATCGGCTTAGTATTATTTCAACAACATGAATAAATTTTCGTGAAACCAATCTTTCATGATCATAGAAACGTGAACATTTAAATAAATACATTGGGAATTCGCATAATCTATCTGAAAAAAATATGAATTCTCTTTCTGTATATATTCAACAGAAAATACCTACTTTACTTTCTGTATGCCACGACGAACATTGAATCACATTTATTGATTGGGTTTTCCCAATCTAGAATTCTTCCACACTTTGTATGATACTGGTCAGGTTCTTGACGTTTCTGAACCAATTTTGAAGCATTCTCCTCAAAACAAGAGGATTTCAATTCCAATGAATATAATTTCGAATTACGTCATATGTTCTTTATTCCATATTCTTTGGGATTTTCCCTCCTCCGCGTTTGGAGGATTTTCTTACCAGAGATCCTGAAAGGAATATTTACTTGTTTGTCATAGTGACAATTCATATTGTGAAAAGTTTGATGAAGAAGAATGAAGGTATATAAGAAGAATATCAAATTTTTACTCAGCTTTAGACGTTTCGGGAACGAATCTGATCCCGTTTTCAACATAAAAAATGACTTCTTCGTATGGCAAATTCAAATTTGTCCTGACACTTTTCAGTTTTCAGTGACAATTGGTGACGTTGGCAATCAAATGAGGTACAGAATGTTGTCATTAATTAATCGTGAATTCACCATTTTCATATTCAGATTCCAGTAGTGAATAGCATGTTTTATATAAATCAACTGAACAGGAAGCAATGCTATCGTCTCCGCTTATCTCGAATGGTATATATGTATAGGTTTTTATTTTTGTAATACATGTTTTCATTTTTGTCATATCATAATAGGATGACACTGGTTTTGATAATAAAGCCTTCTGTTAGTTATTCTATTCCTTTCATAATGAGACCATCAATACTCTAATAGTAAGCTGTATTTTGATTTCCTTCAAAATGATAATCTCTTGGCACAAGAGAATGAGCATCTGCTGAAAGAATATTCACTCATTATAATAAGATAACATATCTTTGTGACAAACTCGAGATTTCTTGATTGAAGAAGAAAATTGTTTAACTATGATGGGAGATTAACTTGACAATACAATAATACGTACCTAGTGTGATAATAAAGAGATATTCATTCGAATCAAGAATTTCTTTTATGAATGTGTCATCAAGAAAGTTCTGTAGAAAAATCAAACAAATATTTGGTTGGACCAACCATATAGTTGAATCAATGCTGTTCAATCAAGAAATCGTTTTTATCTGTGCACCTCCTCGATTAACGTACAGACAGTATTTACGTCAAATGTCATTGAACAGTTGTGTTCCACGAATAGTGAATGATTCTTGAGTAGTTTCGAGATTAATAATGAATCTGCGAATCTCCATTGCAGAGCAAGTAATTCTGTTTCAGAAAAAATATTTAATAAGGATGGGTAACCGTTAACCAAGCAATAGTTTAGTGTTCACCGATAATTTGCGAACTCAGAATACATATAGATTTGGTCAAAACTAACAAGTGTCCTGATCACTTTCAGTAAAAACATTGTTTCAGAAATCTTGTATTGCCTACTTCAATTAACTTTTTGTCCTTTCGTTGTTGGAAATGTTTTTATCACAATCGATTTTTTTCTAGAAAATCAACAACTTGGCAGAGTTCTTTCAGTGTACGGAGCGTTGAATTTTCAAGATATTGTCTACGTTTTTTTACAGCTCTCTCAGATTTAGAGATATTCAAGTCATACAATTATATTCATGCAATTATGTTTGGGACCCAAAAGTAGTACTTTTTCACTCAGAAAACCTTCCACCTATTACCTAATGAGAATCTCAGCATTGATAACTGCACATCGTATGCAAGCGCTGGCTTGCATCAGAGTAGAAATTTCAGAAGAAAAGATGCAAATACTCGAGATCACATAAAAACATCTTCTGCAGAAAGCATGCAGTCATTGCTGCATAGTCCTTGATTTCAAGATCAACCTCGACTCTGTGTCGCATCAGCATTGACAATAGTTTGAATGGATATCAAGGTTTTTCCTGCATATTACATGAGACATGCAGCAACGTCCGCTGTCGTCGAAACTGGGAAATCCGGAAAACTACAGGTTGGAGTGAAAACTCGAAAATGTTTGTAAAGTTTCACCACCTACCGATGCAACGAGGTTTTGCGTTTGCCGAAGCAGTTGTTGGAAACAAAAACTGACACTGGCAAAGTAGGCAATCAGTACTCAGCTTGCGTTCGGAAATGAAGAATGTATTCAGAAATGAAATTGGAAACTACATTATATATAGTAATAAGAGAGATTGTATGGAACGCAACAGAACTGGCTTTGAGCAACTACCATGATGTGATCTTCGAAGAACAAGGCGCTGAAATATAATTTAACGATGAAAAAAACTTCATGGGAAGTTAGATTGAAATTTTATGAAGCGCCTCGTTCGAGAAGATCACTCCCTCCTCTTCCTGTACGATAGAAATCGAGGGTTTCACTTTACATACTAATATGTGCTAGATGGGATGATTTCATCACCACTTCAAGGAAAATCACTGATCAATCTGTTCATGAGGTGAAATTGATTATGGTTGAAAACTCCTAACACCCCCATATCCTGTTGCGTTGAGCTATAAAATGAATGAAGAGATGGGGAATATTGAGAATGAACAGTTTTATGTAGGTACGGAGAAAAAATATGCGATTCGAAGTCTGTCGGCTGAACCGCACATGAGCGTTAATATATATATACAGGGTGAGTCATGACTAACCAGCCATAGCCTAATGGTGGATAGAGGAAGTCGAGGTGAGTTAATATATTGTAATGATATTCCCCTTGGAGGGGCTCTAGAAACATCAGCAGGAAGGCAGGAGTACAACGATCATCCTGTATCACGCATCCCCGATTGCTCTCCAACCTCTCAATGATTCCTACATACACCAGCATATTTCCGAACACTCAATATATGCCGCAGTGACAAATAACGTCACAGAAGATTCTGGAATGTTCTGGAAACAATCGATGGAACAATTAGAGAGAGAGGTTTTGTTCTAAGAAGCTTCTAGAACAAAAAGAAGGAGACGGAAAATCATTCGAGAACGTTCTCGACCAAAGCCTGCCATGTGTTCTCATATATAAGACCGCCGAACAACTGCTGTCAGTCAGTCGAGCAGCGCGTGTCAGAAAGACAGTTACATACTGCGTGATATAAATCGTTTTACATAAATAGTAGTTATAAGTTCGATATAAATTAGTGTTTCTTTAATTAAAATAAATCAGTTCGAAAATAAATAGTGTCGTGTTCACTTCTGCACCCGAATAACGTAACAATATATATACAGGGTGATCCACGGTGGATGGCCTATTAGAAGTATCTGGAGAACGAAAAGACAGAACATCCTGAAAATAGAGTTTCTTCGACAATTGAACATTCCCTATCCGTCTAAAATATTTTCATCGATACAGTGTTGCCTCTTCTATCAGCAACAACTAGCAACTTTGTTATTTCAAATAGAACACCCTGAATTTTATTGCATTTTTAGATTCTTTCTGAAGAGCTGATTTCATCAATGTATCACACTTGGGGTCTAGCAGGAATGATTACAGAGATATAGGGTGTTCAGAATCTAGATTTTTCAATTTTAGGATTTTTTTGTGTCGAAACTATTCATTATCGATCAAAACGGCTTACATGTCCCTATCTCAACTTTTGATTGACTGTCTACTGGAATTTGATTGGAAAAAATACAGGGTGCTTCAAGATTCAGAATTCTGATCACCATATGTATATGTTCCAATTAAATGTCAGTAGATAGTGAATCGAAAGTTAGGAAAGGGACATGTAAGCCGTTTTGATCAATAATGAATACTTTCGACACAAAAAAAACCTGAAATTGAAAAATCTCGATTTTGATCACCCTGTAATCATTCCTGATAGACCCCAAGTGTGATGCATTGATGAAATCAGCTTTTCAGGGAGAATCTGAAAATGCAATGAAATACAGGGTTCTCTATTTAAAATAACGAAGTTGCTAGATGTTTCTGATAGAAGTGGCAACACTGTATCGATGAAAATATTTTAGACGGATAGAGATTGTTCAATTATCAGAGCATCCCAATTTCCAGAATGTTCTGTCTTCTCGTTCTCCAGATACTTCTAATAGGCCATCCACCGTGGATCAGCCTGTATATCGATGGGTTAAGTGCAGAACGTCGTAACCCTCAAATATTCGGAAAATTGAATTTGAGCGCCATTGAACAAAACCGTACTTTGCGCATGTCATTTCAATACATCAGAAGCCACATACACAATTTGGCCATGCTGTCGAATAAAAATAAAACGTCGTATCCACAGCCACCATTTTTTTGTCGGTCAAAACGTTGTAACCGCCAGTTTACCACTGTCAACGCATAAGTGTGGTCACAGCTGGTAGTATCCTATGTTAGAACTTTTATTATTCAAGATATCAGGTGAGTACTGCTACTTATTTATGCAAAACAGCTATGAGACATTGATTCTTGATATTTTTTGACTGAACAAAGTGTAAGGTCTTTGCCAAATAATCAGCTAATCCCATTCGAATTCGTTCAGTGGGATACGACATTTTGAATTGTTGTTTCTGTCCACTCGATGTTTGGCTTCCGACAATTTGATGTTCCTTCGAAATAAATTTCGATCGAGAAAAAACAATTCGAAATTTGAATTTTTTGTCTTAAATAATGATAACTATTTTTCTTGGTGAATATCGACACAATAATATTAGTACAATACTTTACTATTTTTTCAGAATGTCAAGCCGGGTTTCCAAAATGTTCTCTATTCTTCATGAGAAAAACAAGGAAAAAGAAAAACAGAAAGAGAAAAAAAATGAACTACCTGCATCTAATCAATACATCGAACCTCATTCTATGGAACCACCGAAATTCTGGGATACGGTTGAACAAAATGTGAAAAACAATGACTTTTCCACCAATCAATCCACTGTTTCACATTCAATCGAATCAATCAGTTTCATTGAAACGATTGATGCAAATGAGGAGAAAGATAATTATATCACCAATGAATCCCTCATTGCTTTACCTCCTTCAGAATTGCCGATATCTACTGAAACAATTGACAATGAAGTTATTGATGGAATTCCAATTGTATTTCCAGATGACATTAACACTTTCACTCTTTGCCCAAACATTTCTATTGAAGTGGTTGATTTACGGAATGAAAATTCTGCATCCATTTTCGAGAAAGATACGGTGGAGCATATTAACACTAGTATCACAGATTCATCAGCAGGAAACTTTCAGGAAAATGAAGTGAATCAGGACCCAGAAGATAATAGCCACACTGAGTCAGAAAACCCTGAGGATCGTGAGGTCGCTGATGAAGATTCAGATTATGAACCCAATATGGAGTCAGATAATACTGACGAAAGTAGTAATTCTGAGATACAAGGAGATGGCGAACCTCCGTTGCAAGAAAATATCAAGCGGAAAAGAAAAAGTGATCCAGAGCAATGGGACCGAATGAGAAATAAAAAATTGAGGATGGAGGGAAAAGAATATTTTGCAGCAGACTCGAAAGATCAGGAGGGGAAAAGGGTGAAGAGACCGGCTAGAAAATTAGGAGTCAAATGTGAATGTAAGTCGCTTGGGAAGTCATGCAATGAGGTGGATGAAGAGAAACGGAACGAAATTTTCGATATGTTTTGGAAATTGAGTTGGGAAAATAAAAAAAACTACGTCAGATCTCTTGTTAAGTACGAAGAAAAGAAAAGATGTTATGTTCAAACAGATTCTAGGAGGAAAGGAACATTCCATTATAATCTACAACTGAAAAATAAGAAGATCAATGTGTGTAAGAAGATGTTTCTCAATACACTTGGAGTTAAGGAGAGGTCGGTAAGAGATTGGGTAACTGTTCCAACTGTGCATGGAATGGTGAAACAAAACAATCTGAAAAGATATAAAACTGCAAAACAAAAGGGTGATAATGAGAAGAAGAACATAATGATTGCATTCATTAATTCGATCCCCAAACTGCCATCACACTATTGCAGAGCTGATTCAAAAAAATTATACCTGGAAGAGAACTTCAAAAATAAAACTGAATTGTATGATCTATACAAATCACATTGTGAAGAACAGCAAAATTCACCACTGTCGATCTGCTCCTTCATGATGACATTGCAGGAAATGAATATTTCAATACATCAACCAAAGAAAGATCAGTGTGATCTGTGCTGTTCTTATAAAGTTGGGAATACATCTGAAGAAGAATACAGAAATCATATAGCAAAGAAAGATCAAGCAAGAAACGAGAAAGCGAAGGATAAGGAAGCAGCAATGAGAGGAGAATTTCACGTATTCACTATGGATGTACAGGCAGTAAAACTTTGCCCCATGTTGTATGCCAGTAAGCTTTATTTCAAAAGTAAACTACAGGTCCATAATTTCTCAATCTATAATCTAACTGATCATCATTGTGTCAACTACTGCTGGAATGAGACTGAGGGTGAAGTTGTTGCATCAATATTCACCAGCTGTATCCTGAAACATCTGGAAAATTTCTGCCTTGGAGAAAAGAAGCCAATAATACTCTATTCTGACGGATGTGGGTATCAGAACAGAAATATGACATTAGCGAACGCCCTGCTCGAATTTTCTGTAGTTCACGGTGTGACCATTTTTCAAAAGTTTTTGGAGAAGGGTCACACCCAAATGGAGGTGGACTCAGCTCATGCTTTGATCGAACGAAAACTCAAAGGACGGGAGATTCATCTGCCCAGTCAATACCCTATTTTTATTAGGGAAGCTAGGAAGAATCCCTCACCATTCGAGGTCTACTACCTGACTCATGACTTTTTTACTGATTACGATGTAAAAGAGAACTTTCGATATCTTTCCATTCGTCCTGGTCGAATTAAGAATGATCCTACAGTCAATGACCTCAGATGTTTGAAGTACACACCAGAAGGTGTTATTTTTTATAAAATAGACTATTCTCAGGAAGATTATCAACCACTACCTAAGAGACCAGTTCATACTCATGCGAACTTTGAGAAACGATCATTATATAAGACCAGAATTCCAATTTCTAAACAAAAATACGACCATCTTCAGCAACTCACTGAAGTTTTACCAGCTGAAGTGAAGACATTTTATGATGAGATTCCATTTAGCACCAAAAAATGACTTGGAAATATTTCTTTGGATGTTTTCTTTTTTTTATTTTTTAGTTCAAGAATGTATTTTCTTCAATAAATCAATAAATGAAATGTTTACAAATTTTTTTGAGTATAGATACGTTTCCTAAAATGACGTATCCCACAAATAACAGAACTACGAAATGTCGTAACCAACATCTTTATTCAAAAACGAGAAAATAGTTCTCAAAAGAGTCCACATGATATTGCGAAAATGCCATATATGGAAATGAGTATGGAGAATTGAGCTTTTCATGGGTGTTTATTAAAATATTCAGTTTTTTGTACTTCCTGAAAAGTTATACCCTCCAGGGATACGACATTTTGAACTTAAGCCATCGATATATATACAGGGTGTTTCATGAGAAGACTCACATAGCCAAATGGTTAATAGGAGAAATCAAGACGAGTTGATGTATGTATATGAAAACATTTTTAGACCCTCCATAACGAAGATACAGGGTATTATGTGAAATTGGTATATAACTTTGATGGTCGATATTACAGAAATGATTCGTCGTAATCTGCTGGAATTTGGCAGCGACGTATCTCTACTGAAACTATTCAAGATAACATATTATGAAAAAAATATCCAGGTCCGGACTTGGGAAAATTTTATTTTTCATTGTTATGTCAAAAAAGTTCACTTTGTGACCACTTTTCTCAAAAAATTCCATCAGATTCAGAAAGATCAGACAAAATGCTATAAGAACTGCTCTTCAATTTACACGGCACACTCTGACTGGTTCAACGAAAAAATATGGAACAAAAACGTACGAATGAATTTTCAATTTCGACCTGGCTGATAACTCTCAACTTCCAACTGGATTCGTGTAAATTGATTTTTTGTACATTTTTATTGGATAGAAATTGACAGAAGGGATTAGTTCTGATTTTTTTATGATTTAACATGTTAGTTTTTGACCGAACTTCTAGATAGATATGATTGCTCGTGACTCTATTTTATAAATTTATTATAAAGTGGGCCCTGTTTTTATTTCATGTTACGTGACGTTTGTTGATAGGTAAACACTCGTAATCGAAATATTCCTACACTCTAGGTGTCACTTCATATTCCAAATGCTGAACAAGACGAAAATCCAAATGCTATGCTATGTTTAATACCATAGAATATTTGCAGACCCAAGAATACGTTGCAGTAAAACCTTCACGAGGATGAACATTAGGAATTTTGAATAAGTAGCAAATGCAAATCCTTATATCACTTGCAGAAGTGTATCAATAACAAAAAATGGACCTAAGTTTATGCGTCTTTATACCGGTGTGAACCTGGCAGCCGAAAGTGAGCAGCCAAAATTCCGGAAACAGCCGAACGACCATTGGCGTCCAAATTTTGTTTCCTTCATTATTTGCTAAACTAATTGAAAGGTATAATAACACTGTATGGCACTCTGTATGGCAGAAATGATATTTCTAATGAAAAACATATTTTATGCTGGATTCTGTATCGAAATGTCATATGCCTGATACAATAATTGAGATTGTATGTTGTGAGAACAAATATCCTACATACATACCTACATACTACATAATGATGGAGACAAATAATGAAAGCACCTCTGGTGCGATCCATAAGGTAGTATTTTGTTCCATGATGTTCAAAAAACAACTTGCACTATCGATGCTGAAAAAAATTATTTCACACTGAAGGAAACGAGTCAGGTTGATATTGACACAGAAAATGATGATCATTATAGCAATACTGCATACCAAAGAAAAATCTCTTCGGTGCCGTCGAAGGGGTAGTAATTCCACCCTTAATAATGAAAAAAATAATTCCACCCTGAAGGAAACGAGAAGCCAGGTTGATATTTATACAAAAAATTAGAATCAATATTACAATACTGTATACTGAAGGAAAATCTCTTCGGTGCCGTCGAAGGGGTAGTAATTCCACCCTTAATGATGAAAAGAATAATTTCACCCTGAAGGAAACGAGGAGCCAGGTTGATATTGACACAAAAAATTAGAATCAATATAATAATACTGTATACTGAAGGAAAATCTCTTCGGTGCCGTCGAAGGGGTAGTAATTCCACCCTTAATAATGAAAAAAATAATGTCACCCTGAAGGAAACGAGAAGCCAGGTTGATATTGACACAAAAAATTAGAATCAATATAATAATACTGTATACTGAAGGAAAATCTCTTCGGTGCCGTCGAAGGGGTAGTAATTCCACCCTTAATAATGAAAAAAATAATTTCACCCTGAAGGAAACGAGAAGCCAGGTTGATATTGACACAAAGAATTCGAAACGATATAACAATACTGTATTCTGAAGGAAAATCTCTTCGATGCCGTCGAAGGGGTAGTAATTCCACCCTTAATAATGAAAAAAATAATTTCACCCTGAAGGGAACGAGAAGCCAGGTTGATATTGACACAAAAAATTTGAATCAATATAACAATACTGTTTACTGAAGGAAAATCTCTTCGGTGCCGTCGAAGGGGTAGTAATTCCACCCTTAATAATGAAAAAAATAATTTCACCCTGAAGGGAACGAGAAGCCAGGTTGATATTGACACAAAAAATCAGAATCAATTTAACAATACTGCATACTGAAGGAAAATCTCTTCGGTGCCGTCGAAGGGGTAGTAATTCCACCCTTAATAATGAAAAAAATAATTTCACCCTGAAGGAAACGAGAAGCCAGGTTGATATTGACACAAAAAATCAGAATCAATTTAACAATACTGTATACTGAAGGGAAATCTCTTCGGTGCCGTCGAAGGGGTAGTAATTCCACCCTTGATAATGAAAAAAATAATTCCACCCTGAAGGAAACGAGAAGCCAGGTTGATATTGACACAAAAAATCAGAATCAATTTAACAATACTGTATACTGAAGGGAAATCTCTTCGGTGCCGTCGAAGGGGTAGTAATTCCACCCTTAATGATGAAAAAAATAATTTCACCCTGAAGGAAACGAGAAGCCAGGTTGATATTGACACTAAAAATTAGAATCGATATAACAGTACTGTATACTGAAGAAAAATCTCTTCGGTGCCGTCGGAGGGGTAGTAATTCCACCCTTAATAATGAAAAAAATAATTTCACCCTGAAGGAAACGAGAAGCCAGGTTGATATTGACACAAAAAATTCGAATCAATATAACAATACTGTATACTGAAGGAAAATCTCTTCGGTGCCGTCGAAGGGGTAGTAATTCCACCCTTAATAATGAAAAAAATAATTTCACCCTGAAGGAAACGAGAAGCCAGGTTGATATTGACACAAAAAATCAGAATCAATTCAACAATACTGTATACTGAAGGGAAATCTCTTCGGTGCCGTCGAAGGGGTAGTAATTCCACCCTTAATAATGAAAAAAATAATTCCACCCTGAAGGAAACGAGAAGCCAGGTTGATATTGACACAAAAAATCAGAATCAATTTAACAATACTGTATACTGAAGGGAAATCTCTTCGGTGCCGTCGAAGGGGTAGTAATTCCACCCTTAATGATGAAAAAAATAATTTCACCCCGAAGGAAACGAGAAGCCAGGTTGATATTGACACTAAAAATTAGAATCGATATAACAGTACTGTATACTGAAGAAAAATCTCTTCGGTGCCGTCGGAGGGGTAGTAATTCCACCCTTAATAATGAAAAAAATAATTTCACCCTGAAGGAAACGAGAAGCCAGGTTGATATTGACACAAAAAATTCGAATCAATATAACAATACTGTATACTGAAGGAAAATCTCTTCGGTGCCGTCGAAGGGGTAGTAATTCCACCCTTAATAATGAAAAAAATAATTTCACCCTGAAGGAAACGAGAAGCCAGGTTGATATTGACACAAAAAATCAGAATCAATTTAACAATACTGTATACTGAAGGGAAATCTCTTCGGTGCCGTCGAAGGGGTAGTAATTCCACCCTTAATAATGAAAAAAATAATTCCACCCTGAAGGAAACGAGAAGCCAGGTTGATATTGACACAAAAAATCAGAATCAATTTAACAATACTGTATACTGAAGGGAAATCTCTTCGGTGCCGTCGAAGGGGTAGTAATTCCACCCTTAATGATGAAAAAAATAATTTCACCCTGAAGGAAACGAGAAGCCAGGTTGATATTGACACTAAAAATTAGAATCGATATAACAGTACTGTATACTGAAGGAAAATCTCTTCGGTGCCGTCGAAGGGGTAGTAATTCCACCCTTAAAAATGAAATAAATAATTTCACCCTGAAGGAAACGAGAAGCCAGGTTGATATTGACACAAAAAATCAGAATCAATTTAACAATACTGTATACTGAAGGGAAATCTCTTCGGTGCCGTCGAAGGGGTAGTAATTCCACCCTTAATAATGAAAAAAATAATTTCACCCTGAAGGAAACGAGAAGCCAGGTTGATATTGACACAAAAAATCAGAATGAATTTAACAATACTGTATACTGAAGGGAAATCTCTTCGGTGCCGTCGAAGGGGTAGTAATTCCACCCTTAATAATGAAAAAAATAATTTCACCCTGAAGGAAACGAGAAGCCAGGTTGATATTGACACAAAAAATCAGAATCAATTTAACAATACTGTATACTGAAGGGAAATCTCTTCGGTGCCGTCGAAGGGGTAGTAATTCCACCCTTAATAATGAAAAAAATAATTCCACCCTGAAGGAAACGAGAAGCCAGGTTGATATTGACACAAAAAATCAGAATCAATTTAACAATACTGTATACTGAAGGGAAATCTCTTCGGTGCCGTCGAAGGGGTAGTAATTCCACCCTTAATGATGAAAAAAATAATTTCACCCTGAAGGAAACGAGAAGCCAGGTTGATATTGACACTAAAAATTAGAATCGATATAACAGTACTGTATACTGAAGGAAAATCTCTTCGGTGCCGTCGAAGGGGTAGTAATTCCACCCTTAAAAATGAAATAAATAATTTCACCCTGAAGGAAACGAGAAGCCAGGTTGATATTGACACAAAAAATCAGAATCAATTTAACAATA